TGTCATTCTCCCGAGATGCATGGACACATCCTCTATTTCCCACTATGGTCTCATCAGATTAGGGCTCAGAAACAAACAAAATACAAGTGAATGCTGACTTGTAGTTACTGACTGGGCCAGGCAGGAACATAGGGATGGAAAGCACCTTACAAGGTGCTAAGAAATCACAGCTGACTCTGCAGTCCGGGCTTCTTTCTGGCTGCTTTGCCTGTGGAAAATTCACTTCTGCGATCTCTTCCTAGCTGGCAGCTCCAACGACTGAACTTCCCCTTGACTGATGTTATATTCTCATTCTGTATCCAACTCCCAAATACGAGGGCACATCAAAAAGTTCATGAAAAATAGAAGTAAAAAGATAAGTCTATTTTGGTACAAATAATTTAAAATCTACAGCCTTTTTATAATGTAATAATAATTTCATAATGGAAAATGTCCATGAACTTTTAAAAATTGTTTTTCATTGATTTGAAAGGCAGAGATAAAGAGAACATTTTTATTGGCTAGTTCATTCCCCAAATGCCTGCAACAGCCAGAGGTTAGCTCTCCCACATGGGTGGCAGGGACCCAAGTACTTGAGCCATCATCTACTGTCCTCAGGGTGTACATTAGCAGGAAGCTTGATAGAAAGCAGAGGCGGGACTCAAACCCGGGCATTCTGATAAGGGACGTGGGCATCCTAAGTGGCAGTTTAACTGGCTGTACCACAACACCCACCCCACCATGAATTTTCTGAAGACCCCTCGTATTTGCCAGTTTTAGGCACCATACAAATCATTCTCGAGATCTGGCTTAAACGAGTTTACTGTGCAGTGCAGCTTCTGGATCTGATCCACTGTGTCCTATTTCTCATTCCTTCCCACAAAGCACAGCAGCTCCAGTCCTGCAAGATTTCCTCCTTGGCATCCCTTTGTAGAAGGTGGTGACTGGTAACAGAAGCAGAGGATGAATGAGACAGTTAGGGAGAAAGAGAAAAGGGGAGAAGATTTAAGAAAGAAAAGGCAAAGGGAAGAAGGGTGTTTTCCGTAGTTGCGGCCAGATGTTGGAGGCTCGAGGAGGTCACAGCTGGATGGAGGTAGACAAAACCATGAAGACTGTGAGGTGTTCCACAGAACTTGATTGCCTTCAATTCTGAGCTCCAGTAGTTCTGGATCTTAAAGAAGATACACACAAATAGCATAGAGTATAATTAAATAAGTATGACCCAGCAATTCTAATTCTGGGTATATATACCCCAAAGATTGAAAACATGGACTTGTACACCCATGTTCAGAGAAGAATTATCTGTAACTGCCAAAAAGTGGACACAACTCAAGTGTCCCTCTATAGATCAAGGATAAACAAAATTGATGTATTTGTACAAAGGAAGAGTATGTGGCCATGATAAGGAATGAAGTTCTGATACACGGGCCACATCATGGATAAAGTTCAAACATATGCTAACAGATAAAAGGCAGACACAAAGATCAAATGTTGAACAACTCCACTTATCTAAAAAAAATCTAGATAGGCAAATCCACAGAAAGTAGAGGTTACCAGAGGTTGGGAGGAAGGGACGGGCACTTAATGCTTAATCAAGGTTACGGAGCTTCAGTCTGAGGTGGTGAGAAGATTTGAAAATAGTGGTGATAACTGTACAACATTGTGAATGTAATTAATGCTACCAAATTGTGCACTTTAAAATAACTGAAATGGCAAATTTCATGTTAGGTATATTTTACAAAAATAAAAAGGGGGCATTTGTTGATGAGCTAGATCCGAACAAATATCAAGCCATATCCTTTCTGTATGTTATCTCAGTTAATCCTCATTACTCATAGATTAGATACAACTGCGATTTATGGATGAGGAATCTGTGACTTAGACAGTAAATTGTTCAAAACTGCACAAATGCAGAAGACCTGAACCCAAGACCACTAGCTCTAAAACCCATGATCTTTCAACTATACCACAGTGCTTTGCATACAAATAAGCTCAATGAATAAAGAAACAAGTGAGAAAAGTATATTCTCTTTACAGGTCTGAAAATTTTCAAATCAGTGACAAGAAAGACCATGAACGACTGAGCCAAGAACTTGGTGTCTAAATGCCTTTCTAGGCTGACTGTCATTCATATGCGTGCACGCACACACAGTCGTCTCAAAAACTGGTAAAAGGTAAAAGTTATATTTAACTTTCTCATGGTTTAAAATTTTTTTTTAACTTATATATTTGAGAGGCAGGAGGTGAGAGCGGGAGAACTATCCCAGTTCACTTCCCAAACACCAAAATGGCCAGGATTGGGCTGGGGCCAAAGCCAGGAGCCAAGTAGTAACTCAATCGGGGCCTCCCACGGTCAGGACCCAAATACCTGAGCCTTGACTGCTGCCTTCCAGGGTCTGCATTAGCAGCAAACTGGAGTTAGAGTAGGAGCCAGGAATTGAATCCTGGCACCCCAGTGCACAATGTGGGCATTTTTCTCCTACTCTATAAGCCCTATTCCAAACTACTATCTGTGAAGTTACAGAAATCCATTTCCCCCAACAATACTACCACACATTTGTAGCAATGTTTGGCACATAAAATATTCCCCCACATATCACCTCACTTAACTCAATCAAAAACTCTATAGGACAACAGTATTTCTTTCTACAATTGTTCTGACAATTACAGACAGCACTGTTTCTATAAACATCTTTTGTCAATGCATCAGTCAATTCATTGCTAAGAACTATTGGGCAAGATCTAATTCAAAATCATAAGAACTTGGCATTAAAAAGAATTAAAACTTAAAATGTTTTTAAAGTTTCCTTAAATATTTTTTTTATAGTTTTTTATTTAATAAATGTGAATTTACAAAGTGCAACTTTTGTATTGTTGTGGCTCCCCCTCCTTTTTTATAGTTTTTTTTATTTAATAAATGTGAATTTACAAAGTGCAACTTTTGTATTGTCCTTAAATATTTTATCTTTTCTCTGGGAACTCTTGGAGCTGCTGATATCAAGAAACTATCAATGAGACTTAAGATTCCCTGCCACTGCTCTGGCAATGCCCAGCCACCCCATCTCACCTGCCAGCAAGAGGTTGGTACATACATCTGACCCCGCAACTGGAACCATTTCTTGGTCATCTTCGTATTCCCAGAAGCTAGCACAGTGCTTGGCATGCAACAAACACTCAAATGCCAATTGAATAAAGAAACCATGGATACACCCCTTCATCTTGTATAGCTCTCTCCACTATAATTCATCCCTTACACTGCAATATTGTATCAACTTACTGGGAAATCATAGCTACTACCCGAAGCCCCCAGACTTCACATTGCATTTAAGACCAATACTTTATGTGCAGCCTCCCTCCCTGTCATTTTCGGCTCATTCCAGACTGCTAGATGGCTGTTGAATTTCTTTCATGTACCCAACATGTACCTATTGAGTACTTACTCCTCTAGGCACTGGGAAGACTGGTGACCAGGAGATGAAAGCCTCTCCCTAATGGATCTTACAGTCTCATGGGAAAGAGGTTATAACGGTATCCAAAAGGTACAGGGCAGGGCACAGGTCCAGGAGGCCCCTGCAGCCCAGAACAAGGCCTCAGATCTCATCCTGGGTGCGGAGAAGCACTGACAACAGAGAAGTAACGCTGACTGTAAACCTGCTTCAACCGTCACCAGGCAGCTCCACCTGGAATACCCCCATCCTATTTTTCAAATTCTTCAAAGCCCAACTCAAAAATCACTAATGCACTGATGTCATCCTGAGAATTCTAGGCTATTTCTCCCTTTTATTATCCCCAAAACTTTACAACATTTATGTCAAGATGTTTGGGATGTGTGCACGTTTTTTAGTATCACCTAATGAGTATATTCACCTGGGATATTTTATTCACTTTTCATTCTATCAGCTGTGTCTTGCTGTTTGCAAACTAAAGTACCCTCTTATTAACTCAAAGACTGGATTACAGGGTCTTTTTACATTAAATTTTTCTTTCTTATACCTGAAAACTATGTGTATATATGTAAACATATTCACATAACTCATCCATATAACACAAACACAGGAGACTCCTTCATACATCCCAATCTACATCTCAAGTATATTCTTCTGTTATTTTCCTTAAGAATAACTACAAAGTAAGTATTTTTGTAAATACATTTAAATCTCTCAGCTAATGTTAATATAGTGTGTATTCTGTATTTAAAAAACTTAGAAGATAGGATTTTGAGTGTTTTCACCATAAGTTAAATGCTTCAAGAATAGATATATTTACCCTGATAACACTATGCATACATAAATCAGAACATCACACGGTACTCCTCATCTGTTAAAATTTTTTAAAATCTCAGGAAATTCACTGTGCAAAACATGTCATAGAATAAAGCACAAGATCACACTGGGGTGAACAACTGCCTCTTAATAAGTGTTTTACAGATCTGCACCTGGTGTACAAGTTTCCTTTAGGAACAACCTGCTGGATTGTTTTTTAAATTGAGTTTTACAGGTTAATGAACAAGAATGACTCCCTAACTAGTTATAGTTGTTTTTTTCCTAACCGTGGCAAGGACAAAAGGTCACTAACCACAGTGTTAAACAGTACATCTTTTTCACCAAAGACCTCACGCAGAACTTGTGCTTAAAAAATTGAATGTATAAAAAAATCAAAAGAAACTATAAGGTCTTTTACAGTATAAGGCTCTGTAGGACCAAAAAGTATATGATACTACACATTACCACAGCTGGTAATTTTTTCTTTGCAAATACAGGAGATAGCTTCCCTTCCACACCTACCTTACTGTGAAACCAGTAGAACATAAAGTTGCTTTCACACATCCTTGTGTTCAATAATTAAATATGTATCTAACAAGATGTAAGACCCCCTGGGCAGCACGGCTAAAGGTTACAGTTTACTGCAGACCCCTTCTGTTACTGTGTACAGGAGTTCAGACAAATAACTTGTAGACTAGCTTTCAAGTAACTGAGAAGGATAAGTCATGAGGCAAACAATTGAATCCAGAGATACAATACCCCTGTGACACTGGTTTAGGGTACCAGGCCCTCTTCTCTCCAACTTCCACTCCTCTCAGTCTCCACGTACACAGGCTTACTCTGCAAAGGCAAGCTGATTCTCCCAGTGCTCGGCCTGAGGTGTCTTCACATTCCCTCTCTCCCCACCCAAGAGCCAAGACTCTCCTGTGCTTCCACTGTTATTTTAACCCACTTATCAGAGCATAGGAAGCCAGTTCCACACACCAGTAAACTATCTCTCCCAGCTCCTGTTTCCTATACCGAGCACTACTTCCTCATCACAACTTGGTGTCTGTTGCCTTGAACTATATTTGAGCCAATGAAACCAAGCTGAGGTTTTTTTTCCCCTGCATGCAGTCCAATCATGTGACTTGGTGTATTACACGATAACCCCACAGTTCTAAAGCAGTAAGACAACATCCTCACATGTCAGAACTCACACCCTGTTGAACTGTTTTATATACTCTGTGATGTCAAGAAAGCATTTGTGACACGCAGATCCAAAGACTGGAAAAATGACCAGTAACTAACGAGCACGGGAGAAGGTGGACTTTCATAAAATGGGGCCTCTACCCTTCAGGCCCATGAAAATATCCACTGTTTGAATGAACAGCCCCTGTCTCTTCTGCTGTCCAGTGTGCGGAACAGGCCAGCGTGGAGACAGGGATGCAGGCTCGGGCTGGCTGAACAGTGGAAACTGCTCCTTCTGTCCTGGATGTCCCCGAAAAACAGTGCAGCACAGCAGCAGGGCTGATCAGTGGTGCTGAGGTCTCACACACCCAGCTGAGTCACCTCCTGGGACTGCAAAGTGCTAAGTTTCCACTGAAGAAAAAAAAAAGAGATCTTTGGTGGAGGCTGAGGAAGAACTTAAGAAGCAATGAGTCTTCCTCTTTGGTGACTCCTGGAGTATACAAGGGAGGTCCTTATCTCGATGTGTCTGTTACAGAGCCATTCTTAGCAGGGTAACAGTGTTTCTAGGCTCTGGAAGTGAGAAGCTTGCTTGTGGACAAGACGCAGGGATGGTTCTGGGGCAGAGTGACCATCCCTGGAGGGCAGCCACTGAGGAGGGGAAGCTCTGGGCTGCACCCCACCCCCAAGACAGCATTCTAACAGTCATGTCACTGCAGTCAGAACCCACAAGAGGAGAGGGCCTACATCTTCTCTGTCCCAGTTCTACTCCGCTGTGACGGAAAGTAACTGGCGACCTGGAGATGGCGCTCCGAGGGAACACTTACACTGAGAGCAGAAGAGTAAGTGAAGAGAGAGCACAGAGTTCTAGGCAGAGAGAAGCAACGTTCATCCACTTCTGACCCTCAAGCCACCACAGTGTATCACACAGCTGTCGCCCCGAGCCTCCAAGTCACCCTCCCTCCTTCCGGGGACACTTCATCACCTTCCTCTCCAGTATAGCCAACCTCAAAATTTCATGAGATAAAACACCTGCACGGACAGCCCACCCAATTGCAGCCATGAAACTCCTGCCCCTCCACAAGTCCGCCTCTCATCTCTCTTCAGTCCCTGGACCAGTTTCGCCTTTCGGTTCTATTAGCCTGGATTCCACTGCCCCATGGCTGAGCCTGACACACCAGGCCCAACATCTTGCGAGTCCTCTAGCCCTGCTGCAGCCAGCTTCTGCACCACCACACCTAGCAAGTGCTAAACTGCACTTGCAAAGTGCAGACGCTGCAAAGACAGGCACTGCTGAGAGCTCCTTTCCTTTCCTTTTCTTTCTTTCTTTTTTTTTTCTTTCTTTCTTTTTTTTTTTTTTTTTTGACAGGCAGAGTGGACAGTGAGAGAGAGAGAGACAGAGAGAAAGGTCTTCCTTTTGCCGTTGGTTCACCCTCCAATGGCCGCTGCGGCCGGTGCACCACGCTGATCCGAAGGCAGGAGCCAGGTGCTCCTCCTGGTCTCCCATGGGGTGCAGGGCCCAAGCACTTGGGCCATCCTCCACTGCACTCCCAGGCCATAGCAGAGAGCTGGCCTGGAAGAGGGGCAACCGGGACCCCGACCGGGACTAGAACCCAGTGTGCCGGCGTCGCAGGCAGAGGATTAGCCTATTGAGCTATGGCACCAGACTCTTCCCATTATCAACCACATCCATTTCTTCTCTCAGCAGATGGTATTACCTCCCAGCTGCTTTAAGAACAAAGCAGATCACAGATGTCTGGAAGGTTCTCTCTCAACTGCCTCCTCCGCCACAGCCACCCCCTTTCCCCACCCATCTGCTGGCTCTAACCTCAGCCCCAGAGAAGGCCGGTCAGAAACAACCAAACAGATCCAGACAGCCACGTTCTTTCTTTCCCACCAAGAATTGCAAACAAGCTTCAGTTCCTGTTTCCTTAAAGTGAGCCTCTCTTGAGTCACTCTCAACTACTATCACACTCCTCTTTCAGACATTTTCCTGAGTAATCTAACCTCCTACTTACTCAACCCAGCACTATGTGGAAACATCTCTCATTAAGGTCACAGTCACTTCTTAAAGAGTCTAATCCAGAAAACGCTTTTCAGTCTTTACCTTAGCTTTGACATTTTTAAACAGTGCTGTCCTGCAAACTGATTCTCTTGGCTGCCAGACCATCATACTTACATCCCTCATCAACTCCTCACTGTCTCCTTTGCAGGAGCCTCTTCCTCACCTGCGTTAGAAGGAGTGTGGCTACTTCCAAGTACCAACTGCTCCCACTCCTCCCATCACGCACATTCTCCGGATGACTTCAACGTCTCTCATGGCTCAACCACTTCTTCCGCGTTAGGAACACCGGCTAGATCTTCTTGTACTTCATAGTCACACATCAGAGTATCTGTTGGCTGTCTTCAGGCAGTCGCAACAGGCAACTCAAACACATGAAGCCCGGAACAAACCACCCACTCCTCCCCACCATGCCTAAATCCAGTTCTCACTCTCACTATGCCTCTCCCAGGTGCCGCACCATCGTCCAACCAGTCATCCAAGCCGGAGGTCTCCTGGTCATCTTTGCAGCCTTACCCGTGTCCCTAACCCCCACCCGACTCCCACTTTTACCCCTGCTACAGTTCAGCCTCAGTCATTACTCACTTGGTCAGCTGCTGTGGTCTCCTAAGTGGATTCTTTGTCTTCAGCCTGAACCCCTAGTCAAATGCCACCTCTCCAGGAGCCTGATACTCTCCTAACTGAACCCTGAATAGACCCTGGGATGACTCTCTGCTCATCTACTTCCCTAAACCCTCGTCTCTGGAAACTTCCTGTTTCTCATTTCACATAGAAAGCAACACATATGCCATGCAGGCCATGTCCGTGTTGCCATTTACCATGACCATTCAGAAAGGAACATCTTGCCCCATCTGCCCCTTCTCATTTACATTACAATGATCATTTTTTTGGTCTTCTTTTTTCTAAGTTCCTTGAGGGCAGGAAGTAGATTCCTGCCAGGTACTAGGCACTGAAGACAGTTCCGCTAAACTGAAGCCTGCAGGAGGGGACGCCATTCTTACCTTCCAGATGAGGAAAAAGAAGCTGAGAAGCCGCTGCATGCCTCCAAGCTACCCAAGGTGACTTTCAAGCAGGGGGCACAGAATTCAGAAGCACACCAGCTAAGTTAGGTCTTTTTCTTGGCAGCAGGTCTCTCGGAGCTAAGCAAGGTGGGACAGGGAACACGCCCAGGTTCTGCTCTGTCATTGCAGGCCCTGACAAGGTGCTGCCCAGCACACAGGTAAGTGCCTGGGAAACACTGCTTGTGCACACACGCTGTGCATGCGCTGGTTTGTTTCTTCCCAGCAGAGGGAGCCACAGCTCTGTGCCACCTCCAGCTAGGGACACAGTGCCCTGGGAAAGAACAAGCCTTTATTTTTCCTTTTCTTCTTTTCTGTCCTCTCTTTCTCTTCACCTCCCTCCCTTCCTCCCCTCCTTGTCTTTTCCTTTCATTTTTCTTCTCTCTCTCTCTCTCTCCAAATGCTTTCAGGAGCACATTTATTATGTTTGAGATGATACATTAGGTGCTCTCCAAGGACTGTATTACAGACAGACAAAGGTAAAAGGTAAACTATTTTTCACAATGGCATGAACCACATACTTGGAAATAGATCTGTTTAATACAAGGGACATAATTGCTAGTCATGCACAGCTACTTTCTTCATTCAGAAAATGAATTAGGTTAAAATGCACTATAATATTTGATAGACTTCAGGACAGTACAAAATACATTTTGATATCCCAAAAGAAGCATGGCTTGCGAGTAGGCATTTAACATAGTGTATGGCTATGAAGTTCAACTCTTGAGAGCTTCTGCTTTTGTGGGGAATCTTCACAGGATCAAAGCACAGAGCAGAATCAGCATAACATGCGCACGAGTCTGTACGGGAAAGGCTTACTGGCTCAGTGAGGAGATGCCATCTGCTCCTTCACACAGCACACAAATTATGTGAATTCCAGTGTGTATCTCTTGGACAAGGCCTGGCTGTCCTGTCATGCTCTACTACTCCTTCCGTCAAATACCCCACGGGCTAAGCGTCCACCCAGAGGGCCTGCGTGGGCTGCTGTCTGTCAAAAGGGAACCTTTGGAATAGTCAAAGCAGGGCCACAGCTGTCTTTAAGCACACCCAGACAGGTTCCTGACTGTTGATACTGCAGGATCCCCTTGGTGGCTTCAGCGGGTAATGTGATGAAAATGTGATATACAGCAGGAACACACCGCCTTCATAGACAGACTGGCAGATCAAGCAGGGTCCACGTCCACTCACAAAGGTGGCCCCCTAGGCCTAGCCCTGCAATCAACAGGAGACCAGGGGTTATTTCGATTTGGGGTCAGACTGCTGAGGAATCAGGCAGATTCCTGAGGGAGCCTAAGTGTCCAGCCCGAGCGAGCCTCCTCTGAACTCTCTCAGGACCTGTAGATAACTTAGCCGTGGAACTCCAACCCATGAAATCTGTGGTCTGCCCCCCGCCCCATGCAACCACAGGAAGGACTTGAAATTAATAAATTTATAGCAGGCTAATTTGTAAGTTGATAATTTTATATGGCCTGTGAATGACAAATACCCATAAATGACCTTTGGCCAAAAAAAAGGTTCCTCAGCCCCTGGATCCTGGGCCAGGAGGCTCTGTGCCAGCTGGGTCTGGCTGGGTCTGGTTTGTCTGCATGTGAACCTCTGCATACCCCGGACTTCTGGGTGAAGTGACCTCAGCTGGCATGCTGGTGTTGGGGAAGCAGGAGAAAAACCTTTTCTTAAGCAAATGGAGACAGCTGGGGAGAGGGGGTTCTGGGGAGGGTGGGTAAGGGGCAAGGGGAAAGCAGCAGCCTAGGAGGCTGTGGCCACGCCCATGACATCGGCAGCCAGAAAGGGTCATGCAGTACTGCAGCTGCGGTAGGAGAGTGGTGATGCCCAGGGGCTTCAGAAACAGGGACCAAGTGAGGAGCTCGCCTGAGGGAGGGGACATGATGGGGGACCCTGTGGCTTCCCACTGTGCCTGAGAACCAGCCTTTTTCATCTGTCCCTGGTGATACTTCGCTATTCTCTTAGGCTCACACAGAAACAAAATCAGGATAAACACTTTCTGTAGAATAACTTCTGAATGGACACAGTCCTACTTTTTAACATGTTCAAGGTCTAATATACTTGCATTTCTTTATCTCTCTGGCCTTTTAAAAAATTTGAGGTAATTTCTACAGCCCTACACACTACTAAAAAATTTGAATAGTATAACTGAAAACACAACTATAAACTTAATTTTCAAAAACCAAAGAAGGCCTCAATTGCCAAATATTATCAAACTCAGACATGAAAACAGCCTGCTAGCACAGCAAGCCTCTTCCAGACGGAGTAGCACACGAGAGCGAGCCCCAGCAGCAGCTCCTGGTCTGCAATGCTTCCCGCTCCAGGTGTCTTTCGGAGCGGAGGCAGGCTGTAACAACGGACCTGGCTGCCCGGCTCCTGCCCACTGAGTCCCAGCTCCCGGCCGGCCCAGCTGCTCTGCTGCCCATCTCAGCTTCCTGCTCTCTCTTACCTCTTGGCCTCGTGCCTTCTGCTCCTCCTGCCCTGAAAGCCAGTTCTGGAGGACTCCACCCACGCACGTGCTCAGTCAAGACATCACTTCCTCGGGCTGGACACTTAGGCTCCCCCAGGAATCTGCCTGATTCCTCAGCAGTCTGACCCCAAATCGTGGTTTATTACAAGTGCTGATTCTCATCCACAGCTACACCCCCTGTAAGCAGTACATGCGTGCCTGGCAGAGAGCAAGTGCTAGTGAATACTTCCCAAACGAGTGACAGTCTCAGTTGTACCACCTACCAGCTGTTGACACCTGCATTTGGTCAAAACTCTTGATATTGAGTTTTAGCATCCATAACATGGGATAGTAACCATTGTGCATAAATTTCAGTGCTATGGGAAAGATTAAATAATGAAAGTGAAAATTCAAACCTAAGGCATTTTTGCTAAAAATTCAGAATCACCTCAAAATAAGTGTCAATTTGAATATAAACTATTAAAAACTCAGATTCTGGCCAGTGTTGTGGCATAGCAGGTTAAACTGCCAGTATCCCATATCAGAGTGCCAGTGTGGGTCTTGCCTTCTTGCTGGGAAGGCAGCAGCAGATGGCCTGAGTGCTTGTGCCCCAGCCACCAGCATGGAAGTCCCAGGATCCTGACTTCAGTCTGGCCTGTCCTGGCCATTGTAGTTATTTGGGGAGTAAACACTATAGTGGATGGAAGATAATCTGTGCGTGTGTGTGTGACTCTTCCTT